TAAAATTGGAGTTTTCTTACTGTTTGTTTGTTTTCTAGTAAACCCTGTTCATTAAGTTGTTATAGACACATAAAAATGAAATGTATACACAGATGTTACATTGTTTGACTGCAAGATTATGGTAATAAACTCTGGTTCAGATTAGTTACATTTACTTGAGTTGATATAAGAATTTCATACCTAATTTCTGAAGAAGGGCAGAAGCTGTTCAGCCTGTATGCACTAGCATTCTTAAATGTGCACATGATTACTGAAACTGTATATAGAGCTAATGTGAAGAGCCAGTTGTTCAAGTGGTTATAGCTGTGGGAACAATAAATGATTGTGCATATAAACAAGCTGCACAAATGTTCACATAGATACCTGGGGCTTTTAACTGCTTACAGTGTTACTGCTCTAACAGTCAGATGAGCAAGAGGACTCAAGCATTACCTTGCTGGGGTCCAACTCTAGGCACTTGAATCCAGGAGTGTGAGGAGTATTATCTTAAAAATGCCATACCAATCTGTAATCAATAGGTATCTTTTATGTGCTTATTTATTGAACTGCTTGCATTTTTCTTCTGTTTGTGTTCAGAAGTGCCTTGGCCTTTATAATGCTTAAGAGTTAGGTGCCTACCTTGTGCTGAAACCTGAATTTTCAGCTAGGTGATTCTGGTAAGCTTGCTGAGAGCCAGCAGATTTTATGTATCATACTTCTGGAAAAAAAATACTTCTCCATATAAAAGAGATGCCACTCTGTTAAACCTAGTTGTTAAGCTGTGACCAGGCTTGTTTTTCAAGGAACTGAGATGTCAAAAAAATACATCTGACCTGCACAATGGAGAAGGTTGCAGAGACCCCACAAAGCGGTACTGGATGAGCTGTCTCCAGAACTGGGAGCATGACAGCCTTCCTCAAGTGCTGGTTTGTGTGAACTTGTCTCCTGGCCTGTAGTTAGTGGCACTTCAGTGTTGCTGTTATGATCTGAGGACCTGAGGTATTAATTCTACAGTGTTTTGTGTCTTGAAGGTGGATCTTGCACAGTAAGGGCATACCATCAAAATGCTAAGCACAGTTACTTAGTGGCCAGCGTTTACAAATGTCTGTGTAGCATAAGGCCATAGTTAAACAGGAATGTTTTGATTTTTCAGTGAAAGGTTTTAATCCTTATTGTGAGTGGTTTGAAGGAAAATGTGTCTCTAAGTAGAAGATTTGAATTCATGTGAGTTTAAAATCTGTTAGGAAACTTGCCTGCAACTTCCTCTGCTGTAGGAAAGATGTGTTGTAAGACGGTGTAGGTACCTGGATTAGTTTCATGTATCTCAGTGTAGATGATGTAGAGCTTCTTTCACATTTTTCATTGAACTAATTGATTGATTTATACAGTTAAAGGCATGCTGTAGGTTGTCATCTTGTTGCAGTTTTATACTTTCAGAGCTTATCTGGGTGTGGTCTAGTATGAATTTCTCAGCTGGTATCTGACAATCTGGTTTGTGGAATCAGTTTTGCAAGAATGATGTTGTAGCAATCGTGCACCCCTAGTGCTACATAGTGCTGTGCTTCTCAACCACAGAGATATGTTGCTTGCCCTTTACAGGCAGGAGAGCTGAAGCATAGAGGTCCCTGAACAGCTGGCAGAATCTCAGTGTCAGTGTAGCAGCCACTGAATCTTCCCACATATAGTCTGTGGACATTTATTACCCAAAGATAGTATGATGCTTCTCACTCTTCATTCAGTTGGACAGAATCCAAGTTTTCTATCTCGAGGAAGACTGATTAATAACGTTCAGTCAACATTGTGCTCAGTGAAATGAGAGTCTTGCTACAAATCCTTGTCTGTAAGGAAGATCACTGTGGCAGTGGGAAGTCCGTCTGATGACTTGAAAAATATTCTTATTTGTCTAAATCTATTTCTACACCAGATTGCTTTGTTTTACCACAGCAGTTTCTTCTTTTGCAACTAGTTGTGTTTTCACTGATGAATAAGCCAACCACCTTGCCTTACAGAAGTTTTTTCAAGTGTTTCTCTGAAGTTAAAATAATGCTGAAAACGGAAAACATCTAGAAACTTTCCTGTACCATATTCTAATACAATGACCTAACTGAATTTAGTACACATCTTTTTAATAAGCAAAAACATGTAAAGAGGTAAATGCTGAAATTCTAACTCTAAGAATTAATTTGGGGAGGAGAAGAAGGTAAGGTTCTCATGTACCTGAAAATGTAATTGCAGTATTTCCTTACTGTAATGGTGTATTGCTGAATCCACCCTCCTCTTTGTAAAAGATGAGTCGCTTCAGTTGGACATTGTTCTAGCCAGCAATTACATCTGAAAGAGGCAAAAGTGGTAATTCATCTGAACCACGTAGGTCAACCATAAAGCAGATTAACTTAATGGCTCTGTTGCTGCTGTGTTGGAAAGTAAGCTGTTGGTCTTTCTGGATGAATTTTATCTGAAGTATTTTAGAAAGAGATCCAGAATAGAAGCTCTGAAATCAATATTAAGACACTTACAAACCACAACTATTATAATTTGATTTGATACATCTTTTAAACTGCCTCAGAAACGGAAAAGGATTTGACAATTAGGGAATAATATGACAAACAAATTGGCCTTCTCCCATAACTTTTACCAGAAATGGCTAATTTATCTGTAAATTATGTAGGTCATGCATTCTCTTTACATTATTGGGACCTACAGACTTTTTCTGTGCATTTGCTGTAAATGTAAGAACAGTCAGTTCAGCGAAAAGAGAAAGCATGTTGATTTAGTTGATACTCCTAAGCATTTGATTCTTGTACATCATTAATAAATTATATGTAGTCTTTATTGACTTCTATAGGATGGTAAATTTGATGCATTATAGCATGTGGTCTCTTTTTGTAAAATTAAGTTCATAATGGTCACATCATAAGTAACTGGTGAAATATTTGGGGCAAAACACAGTAGACTTTCTTGTGTTAAACTTGAAGTATAATGCACCAGAGATCCTCTTTTTTTTTGCTTTGGGATTTTTGTTGGTTTTGTTTTTTTTTTTCCTTTGATTGTGTTTCAGAAGATGATATACTTGGTGTATATCACAGTTCAGTTTTACTTTTTCCAGACAGCATTGTTGTATGAATTTGTTTATCAGTTTATCATTCTTGGTCAATACTGATTGTACTGTGTCATGCACAAATGAGTCTTTCTGAGCAGTTTCTAACAGAAGAAATTTAACTTCTGTGGACCTTGCAGCTTACTGTATTTTTTCAGTTGCATGGTTAAAAATTAAGTTGATGTTTTTGTCCTTTTTTTTCATGATCACATAATAATCTATACCCAGTCCTTTTCTATTCAATGTTATATGTTCAGACGATCTATGTTAGTATTCCTTCATTTCGCTTCATTTTGTGTTCAGTTCTCTTAGAAATGCATCTCTTTGCTCTGTGTGGTTTGATTTTCTTCAGCTTCTTTTTAACATCAAAAATGCTTTGTTAAAACAGTTGGAGTTTGTTTTAATGATTCAGGTAATTACAGCTTCATGATTAGTTCTAGTACTGCATGAAGTATGAGGGGGGAAGTAGATTTGATATATTTGTGTTCTAAAATATTTTGGAAGGTGGATGACTTACAGACCAACATTAGGAAATAAAAAGAGAGTAGGTATCAGTTTAAAGAATCTCTGCAAGCCAACATTTTCAAGTTTTGTATTCTTTATTTGTTTACTTTTCTAGTGATACTAGAGTTGAGAATGTTTTGTTGCAGCAGCACGGTGAAACGTCAATGTTGCTGTTAGCAAAGATCATGTAAATTTGATATCAGCTAAGGTACACTAAGCTGGAACTGCTCTGACTGCAACACTAGAACTGTTCAAGAAGCTGCATGTTTGAGTGAAGAGGGCTTTTTTTTTAATATATATTTTATTGTTCTGAAGATGTTAGTTCCTTTCTCATTAACAATTTAATCTGCAAGAGTTGAGCACTGTTTGCTGCTTGGTTTCTATTCAGGTTACATAGGGTAACTCCCTTCCTTTCTCTCCCATTGTGGTTAATGGTATGTACTGCTTTGGTACAGTCAGAAGGTTTCTGTGCAGTTTTGCTACTGTTCTGTCATGTGGAAATGCATCTGGCCATATCACTTAGTAAAATCTTCTTTTAAAATATTTTGCAGCACAAAAATTACTCTTCCGCTGAAATGTTTTGCAATTAAATATATATATTTTTTCCTGTATCTGTCTGCTTTTTTGATAAGTATGCATATCTTCTGTAAATGGAATTGGCTTCTTCAGGTCAAAGTAATGTGCTAAAATCCCCATTTAACATAGAAAAATGGAGCACAGAGATAGTTTTTGAGAAACATTGGGAAAAATACTGTAGTAGTTTTTAAAAATCAGTTTAATACTAGCGCTGTGAAATCTGAAGCATTGAAAATTCTGAATTCTACAACAGCTAAGGTCTTCCTGATATCCTATATCCCCCTTTATTCTAGAATAAATGGTGTGTATTTGAGCAATGCCTACTCGTTTATTAGTGGGGTCTACTCTTATTACTATTACTGCCCTTAAAAGAAAAAAGAAATTGCATATTTAGGTACAGTTTGATTATCCAAAAATGTGTTTTTATTCTATGTATTTTTCTACTCAACTTTAATGTCTTCCATTCTTCACCATGGTTTAGAGATAATTATCTTTTTTTTTTCCAGTTTCTGTCTTTGATGTTCCAGTTCTGTGTGTAATTTTCAGTATACCTAGATATTTGCCTTGTCTCTGCAGAGATATTCTGTCTGCACAGCCAAAATGCAAAATAATTGTGTTGCAAAAGACTTTATGAGTTTTTTTAGTGTTTCATATTAAAGTTCTTCTATATCAAGTTTGTTATTGGTTTGGATACCGTTGTAGATGGATTTCTTTCTAGGCATGAAAAGTGGTCTGACAGATCTGTGCAGAAGTGACCTAATTTTATGCTGTTAAATGTTATGTTTAATTTTATTCTGACATAGTATTGTGTTTTACATTACTCATATTTTTTCTTCTAGGCAAACGGAGTGGGCGTAGTAAAAAATGGAAAGAGATGCTGAAGTTGCCACCTGTTAGTCATTGCGAAGGTATTAGATGCTCAATCGGTAGGTGTCCTGTAGAATGGTCTGCTGATTATTTTGAGAAGGAGGGGTAAGAGTTTGGTGGTGTTAACTGAAAGGATTCTTTCTTGCTTCTGAATGCTAATTATGAAAAAAAGCTATTAGACTTTTAATGTGATGGAGAATTTATGAGAAAATATATTTATGAGAAGATAAAAGCTGTATCACAGCTCCTTGTTTGTTAAAGGAAACTGTTCCTAAAGGATAATTTACAAAGCCATGAATTAGTAAAAGGAATCATATTGTGGTATTGTTGCTTTCCACCCCCTAACCCAAATGAAACTTAACCATATCATTCAATGTCTTTTTAATAAATATGATAGTCTATAAGAGACAAATATGGCTGGAAGTGAGCGTTTCACTATTCTTTGGGATCACTGTGTGGTTTTGATGCCTTTGCTAAATATATTAATGTAAAATCTTCATGGTTTAGTGATGTTTTTCTGACCTATTCTCAAATGGGAGTAAGGATCATGCTATGACAAAGATAAAAATAAATAAAGATATTTACTTATTATTTTTATCTCAGAAAGAGACTATAACCAGCTTTGTGACAAACAGCCAATAGGAAGACTTCTCTTCAGGCAGTTCTGTGATTCCAGACCAGATTTGAAAAGATGCATTGAATTTCTGGATGCAGTGGTAAGCAGTGAGAAATTGGACATCAGTAGCCTATAGATTATATTTTTGTGTTTATAAAAATTTTGATTTTTGTGCTGGTTTTGGCCAGGATAGAGTTAATTTTCTTCATTGTAGCTCATGCTGAGCTATGTTTTGGATTTTTGACCAAAACAGTGTTGATAACAAGGATGTTTTAGTTATTGCTGAACAGCGATTACACAGTGTCAAGGCCTTCTGTTTCTCACGCTGCCCCATCAGTGAGTAGGCTGGGGATGCACAAGGAGTTGGGAGGGGACACAGCCAGACAGCTGACCCCAACTGACTAAAGGAATATTCCATACCATATGATGTCATGCTCAGCAATAAAATTAAGGGGAAAGGAGGAGGAAGGGGGGAAGTTAGTTATGGTGTTTGTTTTGCCAAGTAGCCATTACACATGATGATGAAGCCCTGCTTTCCTGGAAATGGCTAGCCATCTGCTGGCCTATGGGAAGAAGCAAATGAATTCCTTATTTTACTTTGCTTGTGCCTGCAGCTTTCTTTATCTATTAAACTGTCTTTATCTCAACACACAAGTTTTCTCACTTCTACCCTTCAGACTAACACTGGGGGAAGTGGGTAAGCAAGTGTGTGGGGCTCAGTTGTCTACTAGGGTTAACACACAACAATTTTATAAAATAGTAATTTTCTCTAAACACATCCGGGTGCTAATGCTGCATATATGGTGAGATTTACTTTTTGCCAATTGTAAAGCTGTAACTTTTCATGAATGTCAAAAAACTTTGGCTCTGTTACTTAAAGGAAGATGTTTAATATTTGCTATAAAATCTCTGCCATCTCAATATGGTCAGAGCTACAAAAATAGGCATGATGGGAACAAAAAAAATAATTTTAGAAAGACATGTTGCTTTACTTCTTGAACCTAAAAAGGATGTGCATACAAGGAATATTACTTATGATACTCAGACTTTAAAGTGGTGTAAACATAGACTTGAAAATGTTGCAACTTGCATGGAAGCCCTAGGCTAGAGAGAATGTGCTAATTAAAAAAAACACAATGGAGATGGAAATTTAGGGAACCATCTATGGAAGGAGAGAAACCAGATTTTAGAGACCAAGGGAAAAGGAGGTGTTTTGTCTTGATATATTTGCATCTTGGTACCTAACGCTAAAGAATGAGGGGAGGATGGAAATGTGCCTGCAGCCATGTTTTGTAAAAAATCCTCAGACAAAACCCTCATGCGGAGGGGGAAAATAATGAGAAGAGTAGGCAGGCACACAACAGTCCTCAAGAGGAGAGAATAATAACTCAGAGCTTTTTATTCTTTGTCCCTCATAGTTAATCCAAGTGTGGTAAAATACAGTCTTAAACTGAGATTGCAGCCAAAAGAAGAGTTTTCCTCATCCCACCCATTTTTGTTCTTATATGCAGGGACCAAATGGCCAAAAAACATAAAGTAGGGTAGTGCTGCTGCTTACATGCATCCCAAAATAGTCTCAGAATGCAAGATGGCTTTGAGAGGTGCACAGTGTAAGGAGCTACATGGGATTATTGCTGGGCTCCCCACTTCACTGTATCTTCCTTCCCCCTACAGGAGTATAAACCGAGGCACTTGATCAGCTGAAAAGGAACTTCAGTGTCAAATGAGTAGAATTGCCTTATATTTGTCAATGAATCTTTGTGCAATTAGGTTTACTCTTCAGGTGCATTTCACCATACTTTTGTGACTCTTAGGAGCTGTTCTAGCACCAAATTCCAGAGACCACTTTGACAGTTGAGACATAGAATGGATTGAATGGAAATCCAGAACAGTGGAGCTAAATATCCTGAAGTGAATGTAAACTAGAGCTTTTAATGAGCATCGCACAATGGGGAGACCACTGACAACTGTGGATGTACCCATAATGGTTACAACTTCTGCACACATTTTAAATCCTTAAAAACTTAGATAAGGAGTAGCAGAATTTTTGGCAGCACAAAGGAGAAAAAAAATCTTAGGCATGACTGTAAGGCAGGCGTGTCTTTGCTCTACAGATGTAATTTTTGAGGTGAAATTGTCTCTAAGAAGTAACTGTGTTTTACACTAACTGAAAATTTTGAATTGTTTTGAAATATGCAATCTGTAATGTCATGTGGATTGCAACACTTCTGTGAATTAACAAAGACTGTCAGAGTTGAGATAATCTGATGTAAGGGATGATTTTGCAATTCTTTTTTTATTTTTTAACTTCCATTTGAAAAATTATGGTGAAGTGATGCTTGGGCATCACTGAAACAGAAGTCTCTTAAGAGCTGAGATAATTTCTAATCGATGACTGTCAGTATCTGAAAGCTAAGCATGCTTTCCTGATCAAGGAAGTGAGATAAAATACCTACTATCTCTTACAGATGGTTCCTGAGTTAGCCTGATTCCCTTTTCTGGACTGGATTTCAGCAAGCTTGTTCAAGCTTGTTTTGGGGTAGGGGCATGGGATTGAGGGTTTTTTTTGTTGGTTTTGTTTGTAAGGCAGTAAAGTGAACGGAAAGGCTAAGGTTGTGGGGTTTTTGCCTCGGGCTTTGCCAATTTTTGAATTTTTTTTTATTTTAAATAAATTTTAGACTTAATCTTTCTGAAAATAAACTTTATGGCATGAAATGCCATAGTCTTAAGAGCATTGCATCTTAATTAAGAGAGTTTTATGACTCTGTTACATGGAGCAATGTGATTTCAGCAGCATGATTATTTCAGGAGGCCAAGATGGCAAAATCAAGGTAGTACAATGCTATGTTGTCTACCTGTACTGAGTACTAACACTGGTAAGCTTTAACTCTTGAGAAAGTGTGACCTTAGAGTCTGGAGTCAGCTTGGCTTTACAGAAAGAAGAATTGTGAAATAATTCAATAAAAGTGGCAGAAATTAAAGTGAGGAATTATAGTTATCCAATCATCTACTGACTCATTTCACTAGCTGAGGACAAGGTTACTCAAGTATGAAAAAGAATGGGTGACAGCTCAAACTTCCCTCTTAAGCTCTGTGAGTAACAGAAATTAGTTGACAAGGCTGTCTCTTAAACTTCCTTTTAAATTACAGTATCTGCTTAAAACAGTATGCCTGTTTGTATTAAATTAGTGACTCCTTTGGCATAATTGAAAATGTTAAAGGTGGTAAGTGCACTGCTGTGGTTGATTAACTTTTCTGACCTGCTCAGGTTGTTTGGCAGTTGCAGAAGAATTCCTTACCATTAGACTGATTGTTGTGAAATTAAAGTAGCGAAAACAATGGCTTGCAATTGTTTACAGGTTTGAGTACTGTGCTGAAGTGGCTCACACCATAATGTCTCAGAAGAAAAAGATGTTGATGACTTAGTAATGAGCCGGTGTGGGTTAGTTGCAATTGATTGCAGAACTGGAGTTGAGGGATTCTCTTAGTTCAAGTATTGTGCTGTGTGTTTAATTCTTGAAGTGTCAGTTTTCAGTGTTCTAGTTTTCTTTATAGAGCTACATAACTTCTCTTCTGATTAGATCAATCACTTGGAACTTCCTATGAGGTTCTTAATGATTGTTGTCCCAATAGGCCAAACTGTTGTTTTGTATGATACAGTCCTCCATTCTGGAGGTCTGCCATATATTCTTTGTTCCTAGGTGCATGCATTTACACTGTGAAATATGAAATAAGCTTTGACTTGGCCCAGCTTACGAAGCTAATACAGGTGGCTGTTTGAGATTGCTCTTTTCTAATTCATCTTTCCCCAGGTTCTGTGTTGTCTTTAAATGTTGTAACTTCTGATGTCTGCTTCTAGATTATTCCTTAAAATTATTAATAGTGAGTTGTCCTTGGAGTTTTTCAACACTAGTATCTGTTTGATGGTTTGTTTGATTTTTCCATAAGTAGCTACCTGTGGAACTTTATTAAGCTGCCAGTTGTTTATCTGCAAAATGCACTGTATTGCATCATGGTCTTTTTCTACATCACAGTACCATATATTACTAAGTCAAAAACTTCACAAAGTTTTGTATCTACTCAGTTTTATTTTCTCAAAGAATGAAGTAGAGTTTGTTTTGGATCTCACTTCCTGTTAACACAACCTTGTAGAAAGTAGTAGTTTTATCCTGGTTTTACCCAAGACTGTAGTAAAGAAAAATACATGAAGAAAAAAAAATACAAGGAAGAAAAAACTGATTATTGTACTCTTATTTATTATTTCCCATCTGGATCATTCTGTCCTCCAATACTACATAAATACTACTTAATTGTAATTGATCTAATTTAACCTCTAGGTTGCAGTTTCTGTAATTACATTTAGACTAATTGTTAGTTTTTGTATGTTTTCCAAAAGTTAAATCCCATGTGCTTTTTTTCTTAAGACTGTTCTTTGTACATGTTTGACTATGTAGCCTAAAAATCTTTAAATAGATTTTAAACAATGAGAGCCTTCAGTTCCTTTATTAAGACCATTGTGTTATTCATAAAATTTACCTAGCATCATGTAAAAAGACTGTAGTGCCAAACAGGTCTGAACATAATTTAATTTTCAATTCCATTCCCCTAGGCAGAATATGAGGTATCTTCAGATGAAAAGCGTATAGACTGTGGCCTGAAAGTTTTAGAGACGTACTTCACTAATGGGGTAAATATATTATTTTGCAAAATATTGTTTCAAGTGTTTTGTAAATATCAGATAAATAGAGATCTAAGTGGTTGTATTGTTCTTAGTAAATTGACTTTCAAACTTCAAGAGTTCCATTTTTGTCTTTCTGAAAGGTATACTGCCTTCTAAAACTTTGAAACTTATCAACTTGAGCAGAAACCTTGACTGATCTCTGCTTTTAAGACTACTGCCATTATGATTTATTCTTCTGTGTTTTCTAATTAAAATACCTGTCTCAAGTAAAGATATATTTTTAAACAAACTCATTTAGCATCTAAAGAGAACTTATTAATAAATTAACTCAGAGTTTTGTATTCTGAAGACATAAGAATGAGGAATTCTTGAAATACTCAGGCATCTTTCAGACTCCTGTGTGGTCTTGCTTGTTTTGCTGTAAATTTTCAGAATTGCTGCATGTTTTCATATAGTAAAATGCTGTTTTGTTTTGTTCTAGAGCATTCTGTTTCTCTATATTTTGCATGGAGATCATTAATAGCTGATCTTTTGCATATATTAGATCTCACTGCTTGGTTTTTAAGAGTCTGTCTTTGGTATCTGATAGAAACTTTTCTGTGGATATATAATTAGACAATTGCTTTCTATGAATAGATGCTCCTTCTACTCCTCTTACTTTGGTCATCTTGAGAAGGCTTTACTCCAAATGAAGGTCTTGCGAATGCAAAAGGAAATAGACTTCAAGTTTGCCACATCTCTAATGATAATTTCTTTGGGACTATCATAACTCACATGCAGGTTTTGAAAAAACAAACAAAAAAACCCAACAACAAAAAAAACCCAACTTTTTTTTTTGCTGGTTTGAAATAGTTTCCCAAATGTGTGTATGTTTGTTTCCCCTACCTTCCGCCCTGCCAAACCAAATAGATAACTTGCTTTTGTGGTGGTAGACTTATGGAATGAAAAAGAAATTTGACCTGTTGCCAAGTTTATTTTCCCAGATACTGAAATAGTAAATAACTGTAATAGCTGTGAATGCATTTTTCTATAATAGGGAACAAATAAAAATTTTGCCTGAATATGACTTTCTTGGTTTTCTCTTCAGCCAAACCATTCCTTTCCTTTTCCTCTTTCCAGGTTTCATTTCACTTTGAATACAGAACTTCTACTTGTTCTGTTGATTTACAAAATTGCTTTCATTGTTGCCTTTTTTTTTTTTTTTTTTTTAATTTAAAGTCTGCAGCACACTTGCCAGAAATACCTCAGGAAACAGTAAATGAATGTAAAGCAAGACTGGAAAAGAACCCTTCTAAGGATCTTTTTATGGACTGTACTAGGTAAGTTAAAAATGCATAGTGCTAAGATTGAGTATCACAAGAGAAATTCGTGTCTTTCTGAGAGAAATGAAAGCTGAAGTTACTATACCCAGGAGTATTTAGTCTCTGAAATGAGTGTAGGTAAGAAATTTGGAACAGATTTATTAAAAGACTAGGTTTTCTTCAGATGTGATGTAGATGTTTGCCCTTTGCGGAGCTTTTCACACTATTATCTGCTACCAAGTATTCTTTAAGTTTGAATAGTATTTCTCTTTTTTATATTCTTACCTTTTCAGTGACTCTTCTACCATGATGAAGGTACTTGGAAAAGTAGGAAGTTATAAACTGGAGCTTGAAAGCTATCTGAATAATGTTACACAACTTAACGGTTCTTGAAAATGGGTCGAACTGAGGCCAACAGTTACATTCCGTTAAGATGGAATTGAGGGCCACGAAGATGATGAGTGGGCTGGAGCACCTTTCCTGTGAAGACAGGCTGAGAGAGTTGGGGTTGTTCAGCCTGGAGAAGAGAAGGCTTCAGGGAGACCTTATAGCAGCCTTCCAGTGCCTAAAGGGGCCTACAGGAAAGATGGGGAGGGACTGGTTACAAGGGCATGGAATGATAGGACAAGGGGTAATGGCCTTAAACTAAAAGAGGGTAGGTTTAGCTAAGGTATAAGGAAGAAAATTCTTCACTGTGAGGGTGGCAAGCCACTAGAACAGGCTGCCCATAGAAGTTGTGGATGCCCCCTCCCTGTGTCTTGGTTTCAGCTAGGATAGAGTTAATTTTCACAAGGAGCCAGGACAGGTGAGCCAAGCTGGCCAGGGGGCTATTCCATACCATGTGATCTCATACTCACCATAAAAGGGAGCTAGTCGGGTAGGGGTGGCTTGGTGATGCTCCAGGACAGTCGGAGTGTGGGCTGAGCATCAAACTGTCCTTATCCCAACCCACGGGGTTTGCCTTTGTCTTCCCATTCTCCTCCCCATCCTGCCAAGGGGGAGAGGGGTGAGTGAGCAGCTGCATGGTGCACAGCTCGGGCTGGGGCTGAACCACCACACCCTGGAAGTGTTCAACGCCAGGTTGGATGGGGCTTTGGGCAACCTGGTGTAGTGCAGGGTTGGAACTAGATGATCTTTAAGGTCCTTTCCAACCCAAACCATTCTAGGATTCTATGATAAGATGGCTGGTTAAAGGATCGATTGTGATAGTTAACACAAACAAATACAACTTGGTTTTGTTCTGAACTCATGAAGTGATATTTCACACAGCAGCAGCAGGGAAGGCTTTTCTTGGAGGGACAGTACATGTTTACCAGTGTTGCATGTCTTTCTAAACCCTTTATGTTTCTAATATTACTGGTTCTTCAAGGCATGCTTGATCATGTCTGAAGGATTACAACATGTTTTGTCACTGCTTGGGTCATCTCCCTGGCAACAAAAACAAGCACACTTTATAACAACCTGAGATTATAAGACTGAAAGGGATGAGTAAAACAAGTCTCAAACGGAGGATCTGTAATGTAGGTCATCTCCTTTCCTCTGTCCCATAAATATCTGAATATAGTTTGAATGACTTGTTTCCTCCCCCCAAAGTGTACTTAATTTAAGGGGAATGATAAGGTACCTGGTGTTCAGGTTTGGATATGGCCTAAATTTCAAATCTTAGAATAAAATTTTACTTACCAGTCTCTAAAGAATGTATGAAAGCTTATAGATACTTTCCTGTAAATATCTGTAAGAGGTCATATTTGTGGAGTCATACATGCATTACATAGCTTCTGAGAGGCTGATGTTTAGGTGGACTTGCAGACACTTAATGAGAATGCAGAGGTCAAACTTTCTAGTTACTCTAAGTAACAGTAGTTTGGCATTCACTAGTGTTTTGACAGGAACAGTTTTCTCTAACAGGCAGTCACTTTGTGACACATCTAAATCTACAACTCCATTGTTCTGGTTAAGTATATTTTAATAGATTTATAGCACCTCCTGCTTCATCTTTTTTTTTTTTTTTCAGTATAAGATTGATTTTATTTTCTTGTTGCTAGAATTGTCCATGAATACTTAAGCAGAAGACCTTTTGAAGCTTACCAAGAAAGCGTGTATTTTTCCCGTTTTTTACAGTGGAAATGGCTGGAAAAGTAAGTTTATTTATAATGTTTGCATTATAATTTTGCTTTGCTTTGTGGCCAATTCTGCTTGTTATGCTAGAAATGCTATAGAGCCCTAATGAATGACACTACCTGTGTAAGAAATTATGATCTGAAAGACCATATATAAAGGCTGATGTTGCTGGGACAGCAAGAGAGCCAATACTCCAATGGAAGTATCTGTCCAGGAGTCTTTAAGCGATAAATTTGTAAATACAAATTTATTATCATATGGATATATGTTTGGCTGTCAAGTGTGCAGTGAGAAACTAGTCTTTCTTGGGAATGCTATCAGCCTTTAGTTTCAAACTTAGTCTAATTAGTGGTTAATAAGCAGATTAATCTAGTTTTATAACCCACTGGGTGACAGGGTAACTAATCTGTTTTTCAGGGTGATACAGACACAGATGTAGTAATGACAAGACAGCAAGATTTGTATATATCAGAATCTAGTTTAAGCCTTTAAATCAATACTAAATGGGTGTCCAGACTTTTTCAGAAGGCTTAAATTGGTACAAACTGATTCTAATTCAGCATTGCTGGGTATCATGATAACATATTCAAACATTAAGGTGCTTAAGCATTAATTTTATGGTAAATTCAAATTATCCAGTGTCTTTGAATTAGTAGCAAAACCCAGGAAGAGAACTAGGGAAGTTACTCAAACAATTAAACCAAATTCTCTACCAAATGAACCTCTTCTTGTTTTCCTCAGAACAAAGCTGCATTAACAGTAAATGCTCTTTTAAAACAAAACAAAATACCCCAGCTCACCACCATGAAATAGCCCTGCTCTGATACATGTTTGGGAGTATTTTGGCACAGAACGGCTGAGACCTTTACTGCCTCCAGTTCTCTCTTCCTCTTCCACTACAGACATACCTTAACAATTTGGCTCTTGAACTGCTGTTGTATACCACAACTCTTTCTTTTTTGAAAACACCAAACAGCAAAGCAAAATCAGAAATGGTTTACCTTTTAAATGCTGTATTGTAAGCATGATCTCATTGAAATGCAGCCTACCTGTCAGTGTACTGCAGCTAAGGGAGACAGCTGGAGGTGATAAATTGACCGTTGATGAGAACAGATAAGGGTCTACCCATAAACATCACAGGGCCTAATTGATCAGCTTTTCTTCCTGCTATTGTGAATGTCTAACGACCACATGAGGGAGCCAATGTTTCTAATCAGAGCACCCCTTTCATTTGAAATTCAGCTAATTATGATACTGGTTTCATGAGGTCAAGGCAACTGTTGTTCAGTAAGATGTCATAGAACAGGAGGGAGAAAATGAAGACAGACTTCAGGGTGTGGAGGGGATTATTGACTCTTGTAATTCCTGTTGCAGTAATTGTTTCTTTCTATTAATCAGGCAACCAGTAACCAAACACACATTCAGGCATTACCGAGTACTAGGCAAAGGTGGATTTGGAGAGGTGAGTACAGAAGTATCTTTCTGCGAGGCAATCCTTAAGGGGGAAAAAAAAAAACCTTAATACAGAGGAGGAGCAGTTTTTTAACTCTTAACTCTAACTGTCTGTATTTGACACATAACCTGGCAAACTGTCATCAATCCAAACTGTTTTCTTTTAATGCATTAATTCCAGTATTGTAGGTCATGCACAAAGTTGGAGAAAACTTCCACTGACTAAAAACAGTTGCTCTGTTTAGAAATTTTATTTGGCAATGAAAGTGTAGTTTCTACTTAATAATTATGTAGAATATTCATGAACCTGATAGGAAAATCTATAGCTTTTATTCACTCTGTTTATAATTCCCTGGGTTTCTTCCCCCTGCATGCTTTAACCAGAACCCTGTATTGAAGAGGAAGGAAGGTTACTAAATTATCATTATCTTTCTCACACTTGATTATGGTGTGGATGTTTGTCCTCTGTCTTGCTTACCTAGACATTACACTGTTACCAGTCAGGTGTTTCACCAACACAAGATCCACAGTTTTACTGAACTATTCAACCCCAGCAAAAATGGGTTTGCTCTCGTATAATCACTTTTTTTACTTGTGTTACAGCTTTTGTGACCCATCAAGGTTGTTTCACGGGTGAAAGCTCTGTATTGATGCTTACAGACCTTCATTTTCTGATAGCATTCAAGAGTGTGAAAAAAGAAAATAAAATTTTGTCATCTTAAAAAAAATTCTAAAAAAACCCCTAGCATCTCTGACACACTTTCCTTCTTTTTTAGGTGTGTGCCTGTCAAGTACGGGCAACAGGAAAAATGTATGCTTGTAAAAAGCTAGAAAAAAAGAGAATAAAGAAGAGGAAAGGAGAATCAATGGCTTTAAATGAAAAAAGAATTCTAGAGAAAGTGAATAGTAGGTTTGTAGTAAGTATCTACTTCTGCTCTTATTCTCAGAAGTTTGTCTTGCTTGCTTTGCTTCACTCCTCCTCCAGGAGCTTGTGGGCATTTTTTAATTGATTTAGAGAATGCATGACTGCTGAGATAAATAATTGATGCAGTAATATAGTGTGTGATTGTCAGTAGTTCTGTGCGGAGGGCTTTTTTTATCCAATATTGAAGTGGTTTTAGTGTGCCTACTTTATTTCTTGCTTACAACCAAAACATTAGGTTGTGTTTCAGCATGCTGATGCCACTGAATCTTTGCCCTCTGTTTAAAGGTGAACATATTATTCTGTGGTTCTCTTGAAGAATCACTTAAACTCTTTTTCTGCTGTAGCCTATGAGTGAGTATGTTTTCCTATGTTTAATAAAGAGGATATTCCATCCTATTTTTTCCTTCTCTGTTTCTCTTCTCTGTCCCTTCTTCCAATGCATTGCTTTCTGTTTTCTTCTCTTACTCCCTTCTTCCCTCCCATACACCTATTTTCTTATAATTAATGCTGATTTCTAATTTCATTTTTGGAGATCATTCATAAATGCACTTACAAAGGGGTGACTTCATGAGAGTCTGCAATTTAATTGCCATTAGAAGTTGCATATCCTGCATTTCTGTGACTTTTAATAGGAGAGTTTTTATGTCCTTGGGTATTGCCATAGCATTTGTTACTCTATTGCTTATACATTTCAAGATAAACATGAAATTTGACTAGAATATTGATTCAGATTAGTTATATTGCTTTGCTGTGTATTAAAGCTTAAAGAGGTACTGTTAATGTGAAACAACTAACACAACTTTTTAATAGAAATTCTACAGAATAAAAGTCTTACTACTTTTACCTGATACTATGAGATAAATTATGGGTCTGTTACTAGCTCTAATTACTAAGCAGTGAAATAACTTAGAACGATCAAAGATATACTAGGTAAACTTTCCCTCAGGTAGTTTTTATTTTGTCATTGAATTGTTGTCATTTAAATATTAATTTTAAATTCAGTTTATTTTGGTTTTAAATCCATTTACTTATAAATTTTGTATTGCTGTTCAGAGAGGATTTCAAAGTATGTGTGTTAGAGGGCAGTGGAAGTTATTTATAAACAAATACATATATGTGTGTGTATTATGTATGTATGTATTTTCTGATAAGCTTTATGTATTAAAAAAACCCCTGTAGAATACTGCCAGCTAAAAGAAAAATTAAGAACCTGCTGGCCAGATACAGTAATGTATTTTAAATTATTATAAATGATGGGTTTGTATAAATATGCTAATGTTATTTTCTCACAAGGCTCATGGGCTTGAATTGATTGAAACTGAATCCAGAAATCACCTGAATTAATCGATAAATTACTAGTTGTAGAGATACATGAGATAAGTGAAACTTCTATTTTTGAGTAATATTTTTTCAAGATATGTAAATATTATAAATCAATAATTGTTCAAAGTCGAATTTGAAATCACTTTACAGGATTGAGCATAAGTTAGTTTCCTCTTGCCATCCAGTGTTTTTTGATGTAACAGAGAAGATCTAGATCTAGGATCTGCAGTAATACTGGGTTGGAAGCGGGAAGATAATTTGTTATGCCTGTGTCAGAAGTGAAGTCATTAACAGCAGGACAGATCAGTTTAAAACAACCAAATAGGAACCCTTGCCCTGAGTAGCTGATTTGTATATTTATTTCTTTTTATTATTTAGTACTGGATTTTATGCTTCTGAAGGAAGAGTTTGGGCTTATTACTGAGTTATGACCTTTATGTACTTGTACTGCATTTAAAAATACATTTATTCAGTCAAATCCTACTGATTTTTACCTAACTTAAACATACTTACCTAAGGTAAGCTAAGTCTCAATCCCATTGCTTTCAGTACAAGTTAGTTAATCTCTGTAGATAATTTTGAAGATCGTGTCAGATGATCATCAGCATAGCATATTCTATTGAAATGGAGTTTGTAACTTAAACAAATTACATTAAATTTTGCAGTATATTACATTGTTTTAAAATTGTTTTTCTTTAAATTCACAAGTCTACTTTAAAACTTTAAATGCACTTTAAAAACATTTACCTGAAACCTGAAGGGGGGGGGGGAAGGTGTTCTTCCTTCCCTATCAGCACCTCATTCCAAATACAGTAGAAGAAAGACTGTAAAGAGCTATACTAAGTCTTTACTGTTGGCAAGTTCTAAGCCAGGGAAATATACTGTTGTTTGGGGAGGCAAGAGGAGGAATAGAAACTATGCTTTTGATCTTAAATAACTTTTTTAGTTTCTCTAATGTAGGGCAACTTTGAGTCTTGCAGAAGTTAGGAAGATGGTTTGACAATGCATAATTCCTGAGGTATTAATAAAATAAGGTATCGTTATCTTTACAAAGAGCTTTATAGATAACATGCAGCTGAGGAGCATCATCAGTAAATCTGTTGTCTGGATGGAGCTCTATGATATCTAAATAGATATGTCACTAAACTTTTACATGGTGATGTGGGGTTTGTGTATACATGCAAATTAGTCTAAATTCCTTTGTGTCCTCAAGTACTCTACGAGAGCGATTCACTGCTTGGCTGTTTTGGTTTTTGTTTTAAGAAAGGATTCATATGTTGTTTGTATTAGAGAAGAGCTGTGAATTGTACTGGGGTTTATGAATGAATAATGGTCATCTTCTCCCCCTGCCCCATTTTTAGGTTAGTTTATCCTATACATATGAGACGAAAGATGCCCTGTGTTTAGTATTAACCATAATGAATGGAGGGGATTTGAAGTTTCACATATATAATATGGGAAATCCTGGCTTTGATGAAGAAAGGGCTATTTTCTATGCTGCAGAACTGTGCTGCGGTCTGGAGGATTTGCAGAAGGAGAGAATTGTTTACAGGTGAGTGTTACCTACAGTCACTCATACCTTGAATTTTCCATATCTGTTCAGCATTGAATGTATTAACTGTTTTCTACTAAAAATGTGTACTTCAACTTCATAGTAAAAGAAGCAACGAATGTTTAGTTGTCCTTTTCATGGCATGTCCTTCAGAATTAGTGATCTTATTTGTCTTCTCAGTTTTAATTTAGATTTAAATACTTGCTGTATTCTAAAACATTATAAAGTTGATTGAAGGTTTGTTTGTAAAATGATAGTAAATTGTGATTTACAAAGCAAATTCATTAGTAATTCAAATAAATAAATAAATAAGTTTTAGGAACATGGGATTGTATTCCTGCCCACTCTAAAGTGGAAGTTCACCGGAAGGCCATTGAAGTCCTGTGCTGCATTGCTTGTTATGACCAAGAGGGTAAAAAAGTTGGTTACAATCTGTATTGCCCTCTTTCTTCTGTTTTTATTTCAAGTTCCTCCAATAACCACTTTATTGCTTTTGAATTAATGAAACTGTTGGAAGCCTCATGCATTGTAATTGAGATTGTATGATCTTACTTGTCTTTTCTGTCTCTGTATGTGCAGCATTTAACCCCTGGCATGCATTAATATTACAGAACAAGTGAAACAAACTTAGTGGTGGACCAAGAACACTTTCTTTATCTTTCTGGTGTGTGACACCAAGTACCACTTGTTTTCAAAGATTTAAAGTATAATCCTGCATAACTTTAATATAATGAGTCCTAGTCTTTTCCCTCTCCAATATAGAAGACTAGCATACACACAGCAGAAAGTGGCAGAACCACAGAGTAAATCAGACTTATGCTGGTTAGTGTATGTGATTCCTTAAAGAATTTGGGCAATCTTGCAATGTTACACAGCATGTTTTGGCATACATGTACGAGGGAAGCAAGAATAAATGGTTTTGCTGATCATTCTCCTCATATGTATCAGCTACAAGTAGATCATTTCACATTGCCTAAGTGAAAACAAAACTGAGTGTTTAAAATAGAAAACAACAACAAAAAAACCTCAAACAAAACCAACAAAATCTCCACATCCCTTCTGTTTGAGCCCAACTTGTTAGGCAAACTACAAGACAACCTTCAAACACATCTGTCAAATCCTAGTGTTCTCTGTCTGTAACTCCAGATCTTGGAGCGGTCCTGGTTTCTTCTGGAGTGCTCTTGGTGTCTAGATCTCTGCCCTGCTTTCTGCTACTACATAACCAGTTTCCAGTTATTAAGAATTTGCATGGCCTTTAATTTATGAGCAAGGAAAAAAGTTTCAAAACTAACTCTGAGTAAAATTGCCTCAATTAAAAGAATGGGAATTACTCTTAGTCCTCTGTTCCTAACAAAATGAAGGACCGAGAGACAGTTACCTGTACATGTGTTAGTAACTGAATAATTTGTATGCTTGGAGGAAAAAGAAGAGCTTAAATTTAATCATAATACCTGAAGGCGTTATTTAAACAATTCAGTGTAGGACACACTAAGGGAGTTCCTGCCTAGTATGTAAACATATGAAAAGAGATTCTAATTATACCATGTCAGCCCAACTATGCTTGAGTACTAAAACTAGAAAATATTTGGGTAATTTTACGCTCTCTGTAGAATCGCTTTCAGGCCTGCGCTTTTTAATATCAAATGAACAACTTTTTGTAAAACAGAGTCTTGTTTCTTCTCTTTTGCTAACGGTGGTTTTTTTCCCTGATGGTCTTGATTTGTTTTTTCCCCTATGTTTTTGTACCATTTAGGAGCATAGTTGTAATTCTTTACAGTTTTAAAGTCAAGAAGCCAAAACATGTGGTCATGGAAGTCTTCAGAATATCACCAATTACAGTGATATGTGACACAATCAAAATTCTCTATCAGGCATCTTAATGGAAATGCCTTTAAGCAGCAATATAGTGATTTTATACTATTAGTGAAACAGAAAGCTTGGGGAAATTTGCCATGATTATTTTATTCTCACCAAAGAAGTTATGCTGGCAACCTCCCATCTTAATGTTGTTGGGGGAGGGAGAACATAATGAAGCACATTTTAATTGATTCAATGATTTATTTTTCTGAATTATGGTAACTAATATTTTTCATTCTCCAGAGCAAGAAAATAAAGAAGGAATGTTTTTCTTATTTTGCTGTCATTTTGAAAGCATTTAATACTGGTAGGACCACTGAATTTCTGAAATTGGAGTTAGTTCTTTTTCTTGTTGCTGTATGTCAAGATCTATTACTGCATTTGTTTCCTGCTTTAAAGGAGGAGTTTTAAACTGTGTTTTCACACAAATAGCTTAAACTGTTAAAGCATACTTTAATTCTGTAACATAATATTTTTCTTGAGAACATGTTTTTGTGGCTATCCATCTGTATATTCACAGTAAAGTCTCCTGTAGAGGCAGTGAACGAAGGGAAATTCAGAACTTCTGAAAATAGAAATCCTCTGTGCAGACAGGTGTTAGCAGATAGCAGTGAAATCAGTTGATCTTGTCAGTTTGTTCAGTTCTAGAATGGCAGTTTTAATGTAAGTCAGTCATGTTAAAATTCGTTATAAATTTATTATGTTTGGGATATGTTGCCATCAGTAGCAAAATGCCTCATAAAGTGGAAAAACTAGGCCTAACTTTCCTCTCTGTTAACAGCACTTTTACTGTGTGTTTCATGTGTCTTTATACCAGTTATTACTGAATTTCAAGCAGTGGGGGTTAGTGCTGTCTGTAGGACCCTGGAGTCAGTTGTGCCATTTTGTTAGTGGGGTTCCCACTGGATTAAAAGAACAGGTGCAGAGCTGGAAGGAGGGCCCTGCACTGCCCCGTGATAGCGATTGAGCCAGTTTGCTTGTTCAGTGGTAGCTTGTGAAACTATCTGTAACTTGCCATATGTTGCTGACATCAGAAAAATAAGCAAACAGACAGGAATGGGCAGTAGTGGAGCTATTCATCCATCTGCTACATAAAAAGTCTGATAATACTTAGAGCAAAATCAGGATTTGCATAAGACAGAGAGGGGGAAAACTGCTTGCTTTCCAAAAGGGACTTAATTGCAGGAGTTTTCCAGCAGGAGTTACCTGACTCCTCAGGGATGGTAGTGTTTTTTATCAGATAAGCTGCTTGGATGCCTAGATTTTCCTCGCCAACTCACATAGGTGTCCATAGCGCCACTGAATGTGCCTGGAAGGTCAAAGATCAGGCTGAAAGACCTGCCAAAGATGTTGTGGATAAACCAAGTAGCTCCTTGCCTGCCTCGTGCCTATGGTCAGAGTAGATATCTTTACAATGAAATCCCCTGAAGGATTTTTTATCCAGAAATTTTCTCTGTAGGAAGGCTGGTGTAAGCTATAGCAAAAATAGATCAGTTCTTGTTTAGTCCAATTTAAAATAAATATATAATTTTTATCTAACTGTTTTTAATGAACCTCTTAGTTTTGTAAGCTTTGCAGTCCTCGAGCCTTTCTTTGCTTCATAAGGGAAAATGGCTGCCTCTGTTGTGAGAATCGCATTGATAGCTCTCATTCTGAGCTTGGTTTTCAGCTCGAGTAGCCTGTTATCCAGTGCAGGACTAGCGTCTATGTATTCCAACAGAAACTGTGACTTTGGCCTCTGTCGTGGTGGAGGAAGGCTGATATTCCAAAGCTAGCATCTCAGCTAGAATTCATAGCTGAATGCTTCCAAAAGCTCACTTCTTTGTGAACTACTAGGCATAGAAACTAATAGCATTAAAGAACTGAAATTTTGGTTAGAAATAAGTTTTACTATTGACTGACCAAAATCATGTCAGAACAGAATTGGCTTCTATTAAGCAGCAGATGTTGCTAGTAAGTATTAAGTTTTAGGTGAGGCTTTAATCAGCCTTCTTGGAGATGGAACTCTTTAAACTTGTTTACTTGACTTAACCTGAGCATATATGATCTGCTTTGAGGTAGATGTGTTTCTACCTAAAGTTTGAGCTTAATTTTTTTTTCTTTTTTTGATACTGGTACGGGTTTGTTTGTTTGTTTGGGGTTTTTTTTTTGTTTTTTACTCTGATCTCTCCTGATTTCTCTGGTATTGTAATCTCATCTCTAATGTCAAATGATTAACATTACGGGGTTTATCTTGACTTAAAAGTATTAAGAGGAAAGTATCTTGTTGAGTTCTTTATATAGTTAATCTCATGAAATAATGAAACTTTAACCTGAATACACATACTTCAGACATCAATTTATCAATATTTTGGGGAAAAAAAAGCATACAGATTTCTTGGTGAACAAATGTGTGTGTATATTTCTCTCATTTTGAACGTAAATTCTAGAGTTGTTCTTCCTAAAATTGCTTCTTTTACATTATTGAGTCTTTTCTGCTTGTATATGAAAACTGCTCTTGTCACAACTGTATATATAGCCATATATGCACATATTTGGTTTTAATAATCTGTTCCATTAATAACTGAATATTTAGCCAAGTACTGATTTTTGCTTGTCTGTTTCTCACCTTATGAGATTTATGGAGGAATAAATCTAAGAGACTGTATTGCAGTCCATATACTTTCTGATGCATATCACAATTATATTTTATGTTTTATACATATATTCTATACTTATATATATAAAAGTATGTATGTTCTCAGTAGAATCTACTAGAGGATGAGTCCTAGAAGTAACCTCTGAACAGCTTCTGATTCAGCTTCAATGACTCCCCAAATTTTCTCTGAGGGGGAAATCCAAATATCCCACTGAGTTTCTTCTTTTGTTCTTAAAGTAAAAATGTACAAGAAGATGCCTATAAAATGCAGCACTGAATTAATTGCCCCTTTTGCTATTTCCTGAGTCTTGCTAGCATTTAATAGCTAAAAAATGTTTCATGTGAAATTTTGTTTGCAGAAAAGTAGTAGAGACTTAGAAAATGGATTGCAAAGAATCCTAACTAGATACAAGTGTCTAGTAAGCTTTAGAAGCTGTATGTCCAAATTAAAGGAACGGAGATTGAATGGATGGTATCAAGCCTATGCTTAGTCTTGGGAATATTATTCTTTGTTGATATTCTGACACCCTGGGATGGAATAGAGCAAGGGGTCCGCATCAAACTCCAGCAACCACTCATGTGTTTTACTGTTGCGGAGTTGTATGGCTTATACTTTCAGGAGAAATGTGTCTCACTTGTGAGTACAAATTTGGGTGTAAGTTGGTGGTTCTTCATATCATAATTGTACTGTCGTGTAGAGGAAGTTTCTCATCTGTGAAATATTAATTGCTGTTGTTAATATAAATGGATTAGAGAGTTGGGAAAAATGGATCTCGAGTTCTATGGTTAAACTATTTGTATTGTAGATCCTCAACTTCACAACTTTTTTTGTATATAGGTGGAAACTGGAAAAATTGCTTTAATCAGAACCAAGGAGCCTTATGTTGCCTCAGTTGCACTTGATGATGGCTAATGATTTTGCCTTTGTATAATTGACATTTCTATTCTGTTTAATTTGTAGAGATTTGAAGCCTGAGAATATACTCCTGGATGACTGTGGTAAGTAAATCTTAAGTTTGAAATTGGGAATAACAAATCTCATTAATACCATGCCAGAAATCAAAGAGACTTCTTCATAATAAAAGGAACCTGACTGACAAATGTTAACTTTAATTAGTAAAGAAAAAACTACCATTGCTTTTTAGAAAGTAGGGGAAGATACTGGATTTTGGGGTGATGACAATGTTTGAGGGGTCAATTTCCCATGACTTACTTTTCCCCTCTTGCTCCTCTTCCTGCCCCACTCGGTTTAAGATGGCTAAAACTTTTATATAGATTTGTTCTCTGTTTGTCTTTTTTTTGACTATGGAAACATAATTTGTTAGATGTATGGCCAGATTTTTACTTAGTAAACTATAATTAAGCAATAAAGAAGAAAAGAAGTCTGAAGCATCTCTGTTTGTTTTAACATTTCAACTAAAACAGGTCTGATGGTCACTGATGCATATGTGGCTGGAAGGAATCAAGGAAGTACAAACAATATGAAGAAGTGTTTGTAGTTTTTTGTTTTTCAAAATAAGGAAATTAATTTTCTTTAATGCCCTTGTATGAAATTTATCAGAATCTTTTGAATTCACTGTAGAACTTGTGCAGCAATTACCTTCTGAGCTGTGGATGAATATTACCAGTTTGTTCTTGTAATTGCTGAGTATTTTAGTTAAGGAAAAACCGGTTTTGAAGTCATTAGCACAGTATTTTTTTTAAAGTCAGCATGTTCTGACTGATAAATTTCTAAAAAGGAGATGCTTGGGAGAAGTCACTTTCCAATAGCTAAAGCTTTGCTAGACATCAAATGCATTCTTTATTTTTTTTCTCTCCAGCAATGTGTTGCAAAATTTGAAGGCTTCTTTGAGGAAAAATGTGGCCTTGCAGGACTGCACTAGAATGCTTTCTCTCTGCCAGGGATATTCTGATCTTGTTCCAGAGACCAGAGGGGACTAATTAGAAAATCGCTTCAGGAGCTCAGATCCTGCACTTGAAAAGGGCTTCATCAGATGTCAGGGAATAGAAGAGCATCTGAATGTATTTAAAATAGCATTTGCTGCTCAAAAGCATTTAGTTATTTCCAACCAGCATATAGAGTGGTACTTGACTTTCTCCACTCTCTCCCCACCCCTTGATTATCTTTCACATGTAAATAAGAAATTAATATGCTTTTAGCTAACATCGATGCTGTAGAGCTTTTTGGCTGACAGAGGATATATGCACAAAGGCCACTTGGGTATTGGAACGGGCTACGCAGAGGGGTGATGCAGTGGCCACTCTTGGAGGCTTTCTAGACAAGAATTTACAAAGCCTTGAACACTTTGTGCTGACTGCTTGCTCAGAAGGTTGTACTAGAGACCTTCTCAAGTCCCTTCCAGCCTAAATTATTCTGTCAATCTGCGATGTTTCTGTAAATGACAGTGTTCCTGTCCTTATATCCAGAATTAGATATGTATGTTTGTTTGTTTTTTCACCTGAATTTTTCTACTGCAGATGATTGGCAATTTTCTGTTTTAAAATAGAGTTGAAAAATTATGTCTAGCCTTTCATATTTTTATTAAGAAATAAATTCATGAGAAGGGGAAATCCTAATACTGAACTGACATGTTACAATATAAGTAATTCTAAGTAGATTATGGCTAGGCTGCTTTTCTTTTGGGATGGGAGTGGGGATAATAATTCCAATTACTTGTGCTTACCATCATTAGGGTACTTAGAGGAAAACCTAATGTCTTAGTACAGGCTACATTTTTCTTATATTTCAAATAAGTGGAGTAAATTCTGGCGTTTTATTAGGAAGTCAGAAAGCTAAGTGTTTGTGGTGGGAATACAGAATGGAGTAATACAAGTGTCTGATGCACAGATACAGAATTTGAAATGAGCAGTCATCATTTCTATTCATCCTACAGTAGCAGCCTATGCCAAAGTTAAGAATTAGTGTACTTAACAGTGGTGGGGTTTTTTTGTATGACCTTCAGGAAATCAGTTAGATCTATGCCTCTCTTCCTTTACATTTTTAAGGGGAGGTTGAATGATGATAAATCACTGCTTTCTAGTTAAATAAATTTAGTGCTCTGAGCATATGAATGTTTTGATGTTTTGGGGTGGTTTCTTACGAGGTATGCTGCAGAAATTTTTTGTTTTAAAAGTAATGACATTTTATTATTTGCTGACTATGTATAATTTATTTTAACATAAATAGGGCATATCAGAATTTCAGATCTTGGATTAGCTGTGCAGATTCCAGAAGGAGAAACGGTCCGAGGACGGGTTGGGACTGTTGGTTACATGGGTATGTAAAGTATCCTTTGCTACATATATTTTATCAGAAAAATTGTTTCTGTGACTATATGAATAACTTGTCCAAAGAACTATATTGGGTCTGGATTAGTTACTGGACATTTTATGGGAAAAAAGGTTACAATATGCAGCGGTAGATGTTAGTAGTCAATTAATAAGCCTACTGATAAACTTAACTTTGGAAATGCTAGCTTTAGGTAGAACTTTAAGAAAGCACCTAATTTTTTTTTTGAGGTTCAAAGAGATTTAGGGTCACAGGTAAGCAGACCAATTATTATGACAACACATTTCTTTCCATGCTTTGGAAAAACTTCATTCTTAGTTTGTAAACAATAGTGATCTGAAGTCTTAAAGAACTTAAGTGCTTCTCTTGGATATAAACAGAGTCCTTGCTGTAGAAATTAACATTTCTTCAAAGTACGGAGGAGTTATGCAAAGATCTCTGTGCAGAGCCAAAAGAGTACCTGAGAGTTTTTTCAGTATTTCATTAGTTAAAGTGAATTGTCATGGGAGTTTCTTTGGGTTTGTTTTGCAGCTCCAGAAGTGCTCAAAAATGAAAAGTATACATTCAGCCCGGACTGGTGGGGTCTTGGGTGCTTGATTTATGAAATGATTGAAGGACAGTCTCCATTCAGGAAGCATAAGGAAAGGGTCAAACGGGATGAGATTGACCGGAGAGTAAAGGAAGACCAGGAAACATATTCAGACAAGTTCTCGGAGGAGGCAAAATCCATCTGCAGGATGGTGGGTGAAGAGACGTAGAGGTTTGAAAATTAAATTTCTAATCCTTTTTAAGAGATGAACTACTTTATTTTAATGTCTTCTACTGAAAATTTTTCAAAGCTGGAGTTCTTAAATCTTTCTTTGGTTCAGATGGAAGTTTGTGATTGTCCATGATTTGTTCAATTATCAAACTTTGAGAATTCAAAACTGTTTTCAAGATGAAGGAAGGCTGCATAAATTGATTTTTTCATCACATTAATGAAAAGGTCCAGTACTCCTTGGACTACACGTAATTATAGATGGAGTACAATAGCATGCTCAACTTTGATACTGCATGGGGAGAAATGGCAGAGTCGTGTACTAGTTTCCTTGCCTAAAAGAGTCTGTATGAGACAACAGGGTTTTTTTATCTTGCATGTTCTTAAATTTAATAAGAAGCATGTCTATGCACAAAGCTTCAAAAGTTTTCTTCACTCGTTTATGCAAAATATGTGCATTACTTAAGCCCATCGTAAAAAAAGTAAGTCTGCCTTTCCCAAAAGTAAAGTCTGCTGCGAAGTTGTACTGTAAAATCTATTCAGCATGGCATCAATTAAAATATTTTCACATCACTTTAGGTATAATCTTCAAATGGTCCGCTTCTGGGGATTCTTTTGTCTACTGAAAATCTTTTTGTTCCCAGAGTGTCATAGTTTGGATTTCCAGTTAATTTTGATACCATGATAAATTTCATCTCATAAAAGGCCAAGTAACAAAATCAACTTATTGAAAGGCATTGTATATAGATTTTTTTTTTTTTTTTTAATTACGGGATTATATCACTGGATCAGCCTTTTTTTCCATATCTTTGCAGTTACTTGCTAAAAATCCAGAGGAACGACTGGGTTGCACTGAAGATGGAGCTGCTATTGTAAAGCAACATCCTATTTTCAAGAATATTAACTTCAAGAGGCTGGAAGCTAACATGTTAGAACCTCCGTTCTTGCCAGATGTAAGTAGGTGAGACAGATTTGATTAGTATCTAAAAAGGCAAGAACTGTCATAATTCTGTGTTGGCAATTATGAACTCCAGAGGAACCTTTACAGTTAGTTGAATTGGCAGGAGAACGCCGTTGTAGGTATTGATGGCTAGTTGTTTTGTGGCATTTCATCTGAGATCACAAAACAATTTACAATAGTGGTATTGCTCTAGGGAGCTTTGTAGCTGATTTCTTAGCCCTTAAAAGTCTGCTTCAGATGCTGAACAAATGCAGGTTAGCTTTGAAGAAATTACTCTGGAGTCGAAAGGAGGGTGACAGAAGATATAGTGAATTATGACAACCATTAAGAAATCCAGAGAAGTTGCATGCTGTTTCTGTTTTTGATATTTCTTTTCTGTTACTTGCAGGATGGATGGAATTGCTCAGGTGCCTTATGACAAAGTGTCTTTTATATTTTTGCGTTTCTATTTTGTAGTACGATGTAATTTGGTGATCAGCAATGTGAAATATGAAATTGCAGACATTTTGCTGCCCCTTTGCTCATCTAGAAAAGAAAAAGAAAACAAAACCACAAAAACCCCCAAAACCTTAATGAAGCAATCTTGTATTGTACTGCAGCCTCGTGCCGTATATTGTAAAGATGTCCTGGACATAGAGCAGTTCTCAACAGTAAAAGGAGTGAACCTGGATACTACAGATGATGACTTCTATTCCAAATTTGTTACGGGTTGTGTCTCAATTCCTTGGCAAAATGAGGTATTGTGTATTTCATAAAAAGATTATTTTCTTTAGCACAGCAATATCAAAGATTTAATAAGGGATATAATTATAGTATTAACTTTCTCTGTAAAGAAGTTTCTGCTGTAGACTTCTTTGCTGAGAGACTTCAGAGAAAAGTTTTTCCCACAACATAAATAACTAGCTAAAAATTGAGATCTATAGTAAATTTGCATAAATAGAATCTGGCATCTTGTCATCATAGATACAGCCTACAGAACAACAGTTAGCATCAGTATGACCACATTTTCCTTGTTCTTCTGTCTTCTTGTTACTCAACATTGCCGTTCATAGGAGAGGGATAGAATGCTATTCAAAGTATTCAAAAGCAAATAGGTGCAGTGCAAGCTGTTTGTGTGTCATGCCTGTATATCAATAGAGTAGTCAAGTGACATAGTAATACAGAACTGCAGATTCACCTTTTTTAAGGTTTCACAACAAACAATTGAACATCAGTTGAGTCAGACTTTCTCTTAAAGCTTTTTTATTTGCCTAGTAAATGAGCATTCTAGAATTCTGCATAGAATACTAGAATTTTGCTACCTCTGTGTGCAGTTCAGTGGGTATTTAGGAAATTCAAATGTTCTTCATTATTTCAGGAAGAGCACTCAGTAACAATTATTTAAAATTGTATTTCTTGTTAGGAATGCCTTCCCCCTATCATAAGATGTTCATAACTTTCTGAAATTAATATTGTCTTGAAATCTACTAGTGTAGTTTCTTTCCTGGTATGATTTTCTAATTTTCTTTAAAGCTTGAACAGAAAAGATGAGCAATTTCTGAACAAGTCAGAGAAAAAAGTACATTCCCTTTTGTTGCCCTTTTGCTTTTTTTTTTTTTTGCATTTCATTAAGAAGGAGATTTGAAAGGTGTCATTTGACATAGAAAGTTTTCACTAAGAACCAATGAACCTTAGGCTGTTGGAGAAATAAATATTTCCTATGCTATGTTGTAATACTGAACTTAAGAATATGATCCAGTCATTAAGAAATGCACTGCAGCTTAATAACTCTAACCCTACATAGAATGATAAAGTCTAAAGTAGTTGTGGAATTCTGATGATGGTAATTCCTTCTCTTCAAGGAATAACTGTAGACTTCATTTTGCAGGTGTGCTTATTTTTTCTTTTAATTCATGTTACTGAGCTTTCCCTCAAATCTTTGCCTTCAGTCTCTTAAGAATTCCTCCTCCCCTCCCATAATTCACCTAATGTCATGGTTTACAACAAAAGCAGACCGCATTTCTTCTTATTCCTCTTTATGCCGTCTGTTCCTCTACTAGGTATACTCATTTGGTTGCATGCCCATTATGATACATGTGCATCAATGGCACTCACCATTAAATGCCAACTACATGTGGGCATTAGCCACTCTCCTCCTTCTGACCATGTACATTTTGGTATTTTCTTTTTCTGCTGTCCTTTATGCACCCAGTAATTGTGGTTTTAATTCTTTTGTTTTCTGTGTGTACAAACACAGATTATTTCAAAATCCCTTGCTTCTCTCCAGAGACCTGTCTTCATTACTTTTTTTTTTTTATCATGAAGTATTACCTTCTCCATTTCATTGCCTTATTCCTAATTACGGTATACGTTAGTTGTGGTTTGATATACAGTTGCCCAAAACAGCAGAATGATGTTATAATTACTGTAGTCAGACATCAGCTGCTTTTTCCCCTGAGAGTGCAATTTGTCCCCTGTGTAAAAAGTATCTCCCCTGATACTATGCAGGTACTAGTATTCTGCATAGAAGAATCATTTCTCCTACTTAATGTCATGTTTTATTAATAAAGTTCAGTGCAGGGTATAGAGACATTATATTTGTTAGGCAGAATAGATTAAAAGAAAATCACTTTCTGGTTCTAAAAACTTCTGCTTAGTGCATCATGGGCAGAAGAAATGCCCTAGCAAAGCAAGGGAGTATCTGAGTACCTACCTGCACGGTAGTGCTCTCATTGCTATTCTTTAACTTTCCTTGTGTGCTCAGCAAACTAATGTAGACTTTGTGCCTTCCTTCATGGATCTCTGTGAGTGGTGTAGTTTGGCTGATAAATCTGTAAGTTGTTAGGAGTACCTGGCCAAAGTAAATAGATAATACATGTTCCATGTATTGAGAGGCTTGTATGGATATTTCATTTATATTTTCTATGTTTCAAAGATGATTGAAACGGGATGCTTTGAAGATATCAATGCATATGAAACCGATGGTACTGTGTCACCAGACAGAGAGAGGTCTCCTAAACCAAAGAGAGGCTTCTTTCACAGACTTTTTAGTGGAGAGGTAAGGGTATTTCTTTTCTTTCATAAGAAAATAAACAGTAAGACCTTGACATCCGTTCTATTTTTTACGTAATTTTGTGATAGGAAGAACAAGTTATTTGCTGAATCCTGAAACTAATGTGATCTGTTTTTTTATGGCTTTGTTCCTGCACTGTATTCCAGAAACCCTGTAACTCCAGGAGTTTTTCCTCCCTCAGCATTTTGTCTTCCTCTAGTGTCTGCTAGCTGTTACCTGGGGAAAAGGTAGTGTGTGCTAAAGATTAATTTGGGTCTTGCTCCTTACGTATTTTGCCAGTTTCTATTAAAAAACTTCTGGGGAGATGACTTCAGAGATAATTGAGGCCCCCTTTGTACAAACTTCAATAAAATTGACTTATGAACTCAGAAGTGAGTGTAGTGGAGCAATGCAACTCCTAGGACTCTCTCCTTTAGAAAGTTGGGATCCCAAGGAATCATTCTAGTGTATTAAGCAAATAAGTAAAATTATCCCCTAAATGAATGAGTGTAAAGAAATGTCACGAAACAAATACTAAAATATCTTAGGAAGTTTAATGCCTTTACCAAAACAACAACATAATATATGTTTAAATAGCTTCTGATAACGCACAGCCTTCTCTTACAGACCTAACTTCTACTCTTTAGTAAACATTTAGAGGTATATGAATTGAGTAGTTACCACCTAAAAGACATATGGGATATTGTGCTTGTTTATAGGTTGTGAGAAATAGGCTATTTATAAAGGCTTTCAGTTGAAGATGATGTACACAATTCTGCTTGCTCAGTATGCCTGCACTTAGAGTGGAATTATCTTGAGAAGCATGAGTGTATTCCAGTAGAGAACACTTCTGTAGAAATTACTTTTGCTTTCAAGCAGAAATGGAATTTTGAAATTGCTAGGAGCATATCATTAAGTAGCCACAACAGGGCCATGTATTAAAATTGCTTGATGATCTTTTTAGTCATCAGCTGGTAATTCACCTCTCTAAAATGGTGCAATGCTAATGGAATGTATAATAGTACTGTGATTTTTAGTTCACCTTTCCAAATTCACTTTTCCCCCACTTACAGTAATGGAATTGAAGGAATAGTTAAGTGTAATAATAATCTCGCATAGCTAAAGTTAAAGCTTGTGTCTTACTGTAGTCTTTTCACACCGAATCAACAGGGTTCATACTGTCCCAAGATATGGTTCTGTGTATTGAGAAAGAGTCCTAAAAAAATTATATATGGCTTGAGAGCCTTTGGTTGGTTTTGAAATAATAAGGCTGCAGTTAATTGTCCTGTGAAGTTAAAAGAAGAAAAGATCTTAAGGTTAAATGAAACTTTAATGACTTGAGATTTCGGATTGCATTGTGGTTTCCTTTGATATTCCCAAAGCATTTAGTTAGCATGGAGTAAAATGTGCTGGAAGAAGAGCCACCCCCCAACTGCCCAGCCTTTCTGTACCCCATAAAACACAAACCAACAATAGTATCAGTTCTGCAGCTGAATTGTCTCTTTGTCTTCTGTTGCAGGTCTGCTTTAAATCTGATTGCAGTGATGATGAGCAGGAGTCCTCCAGACTTTAAATCATTTTACTCTCATCAGAAATGATGAGCAAACTTTAAATGTTTTATATCTCTGTAGCAAAGTGTATTATATCTATTTTTTATCTGAGTTCAAGGATTTTTGTACATTTGTACTTCATTTGTTTTAAGATGTATATTTTCACTAAAGCTTAATTGTACAAAAAGCAATGAGTGCCATTTGAGTGAGTGTGTTTCTGTATGTATTTGATTTCTCTTGATTTTTTTTTCCCCTCAGTGGAATAAATCTAGAAATTCAAAAAGGATTTTAAAGCACAGAGATAATATCTATGGCATCAATGTAACTTGACTTTGTATACTCCTGATAAAAGTCTTGTTCATTAGGATCTTTATTAGCAGTTTTCTTAACGGTAAAATTGCTGTACTGATAAGTTTCATAATTCCGGTATTATCTGGCAGCATGGCAGTGCCATTACCTAATGTATCTCTTGAGCAACTGCTAAGGAAAAAGGAATTCAGTGCACTGTGGCCAGCTACTATGAATTGCTCTTTACTATCTGGCTCTGTAGAATGTCTTTCTGTATTTCTATATATAGAGAATTCTGAACATTTAGCTTAATCTGTATCACCCCATTCTTCTCCTTTTTACCCATCTTACACATACTCTACAGTTTCTTGGCATGGAGCATGCAAGTAAGCCTATGCCAAAATTTTGTAACTATATTTTGAGTACTTTATTGTCTTTACTAAAGGAATTTCTTTTTACCTGTGGGGACACCTTTTTATTTTTTTCTGTAAATGAAATTGTTTACAACTCCGTGTAGGAAGTTATAGTTTTATAATGGGTTAAAAAACAAAGCATGGCCTCTTCTTAGTAACCTCTTCTCTGCTTATTATGTTGTAATATGCAATGTTGTACGGTTGACAGCGATCACTGCCACTGAGGGAGGGACAAGGTAGTATTAAGTTTCAAATTTAATTATGTAAATAATCTTTCCTTATAAACTTTAAAAACGTAAACATTAAAACTGTCTTCAATGATTCCTTCACACAGATGTGGAGCTGGTATTGAAGTTTTAGTTACAATTACCTGATGTTCATTAGTAAAACTGTTTCCAGCTGCTTGAAAGCTTGTCCAACTTCTGTTCTTCTGTACTTAGAGTATGCCAGACTTTCTTTTTATTTTTAAAGTTTCCAGTAAAACTATTAGTCTGTGTATGAGAATGAATTTAGGGAACACATTTCATTAAAAGGCTCTTCTGTTTTCAAAATTTGAGTTAAGGACATGAAAGATAAAGGGAATGCTCTTGGAGACAGACTTTTGTTAACATACTCTGTTCTGTATTCTGACGATTTGTCTCCACTGAGCGTGCATTTCTTTTCCCTTCAAATCTCTAGGGCACCCACCAGACCACACATGTATTATACACACAGCAACTGAATATCCCTCTACCTCAGATGGGTTTCTGCTTGTGATCTGCAGACTCAGTGGAAGAAACTTAAGCTGCTTCTGAGAAACTCACAAGATAACATTTGATACTCAAGCCTATCATCAGGTTTTAATTCACAGTATTTTGTTTCTAGTGACAAACGTTTTAGTGGGTTAGAATTTGAAAAAAGTTGGAAAACCGGCGTGTTACAGAATCCTACTGGGGCTGAGCCTGGTGTCTCCCTGTGCCACAGAAATGAGGAATGAGACTCTTTTCCTGCGTTTTCCATGTGTTTTTCCTGATGTCTAAAAGAGCTCAGAGGACAGCAAAAAGTACAAAGGGAGAAACTGGCTGAGGGAGAGTTTGAATGAATTACTGGAAGATAGTCTGATGCAATAGTGAAGGGATGGGAAGCTTGACAGAAAGAAGTATCTAAAGTAAGGGTGTTGGCTGGAACCATATGTTGTGTGAGACAATGAGTTGGCGTGGGGGTGACCTGACCCTCTTTATTATGTACCACATTAATAGAAGGACTCAAAAGATGAGAATGGAGAAATAAGGAAGTAACAAAGTGTTTTATAAACAGCTACCTGGTTGGAGAAACGATCATGTTTCTCTGATTAAGGGGTCTTAATTTTTTAAGATCTTAGATTTGCTGTTCTGAGGCAAAGGTGACCATATTAACACTGGACATATGGGGTGACACTCTGGAATTAATGCCTGCTTAGAGCAACTTGAAATTCGGGCAAGAATACCGTGGACACAAGTTCAGTATTTTTAATGAAGAAAATACAGGAACTGGCTTTAACAAATAAAAAATAAATAATCTGAAAGTCTATTTATCATGTATTTCAAATTTTCTTTCCATATTGGAGGGGGAGGGATCTTAACTTAAAAAATAAGTAAGTAAAATCAACTCTTCTATTTTGAATGCTGAGACTTAACACTTTGCAGGGATCTGTGAAGAGAAAAAGGCTAGATGAAGAGAAAAGGGAAGCTGTTCTAAGAAGTGGTTATTTATACATCCATTTCTTTGGACAAGGAACTCCAACCATGTGAGAAAATGGAGGATTTGTTCATTTTTATGAAGCTTTATTTAGTTTCATTTCACAAGTTTTTTGTTACATCCTGAATAATACTATTGAATTGTTTTTTAGTAACTACGTGTTTGCAGGATTAGAACCTAAATTCTGTTGGTTTGGGGGCCTCTTTTTTGTTTATTTTCTTCCTCAGTAGGCTCAAGATGGCATTTTTCTACTATAAATTTGTCCCTTTTGGCTAGAAATGTAACCACATAATAATGACTAGGTATTATCTAATGTGATTCACCTAATGAATTAGAAAAGGCAAGAAACTGGAAGGATCAGCATAACACTCCTTATATAGTATATGGAGATTAAGATGTTATGCTGTTTTATCTAAGGTGGAGTAGTAGTAGTGTGGAAATCATTTCTGAAACCAGGGAAAAAGGTAAGGAGAGGGGAGAGCACCTGAAAGCAAAATATTGTGATGTGATACCAACTTTACTCTTGATTTTCGTAGGACACAACTGAGACAAAGAAGGGGGGGAGGCAGCAGGTTGAATATACTGATCATGTTGCCTTTTATTTCCATGAAGCTGGGTTGTTTTTTGTCTGTTAGTTTGTTTAAAAAAAAAAAAAAAAGCTAACATAAATTCTTGTCATTCTGTATGACTGCATTATACCTCCATGAATTCAGATTCTAGATCCATGTGTTAGCAGGCTTTGATAGCAGTGAGACAATCCAACAGCCCGACTGCTTTGTTCTACTGGTGCAAGACATGGAAAAATGTATGGAATTCTGTGGAGTTACTTGCATGAGATCAACTCTCCTTTTTTCTGTGGCTTGTGTTTCCAAGCATTTGTGTGTAAGTCTTAACGTCTGCTTGTGCATACCTCATGAATCTATATATTTAGCTCAAAATTCAGAAACTCTGAAACAATGTACCAGTGTGTTATTGGTTTACTTAATGCTTTTGAATGTTGTGACCAACAGAATAGAATCTTCATGCCTCAGGGTTGTTCTCTTTCTATAAAAAAATTGTCAGCTTGTTTTTTTTTTTTTTTCTGGAGGTGTAGTGTTCATAATAGAGATGGTGTTACGTTTCTGGGTTGTAACAACAACAAAACAGTCTCAGTTGAAAAAATGAGCACTTAAAAGTAATGACCGTATAATAAATAGGAAAAATGTGGTATTTCTGTACAAAGAGAGCGCTATTGACAAATCTTATCCTTTAGTAGATGTTGTATGTCTTTTTTTCCCCAAATCATTCTTAAAACAATAATGTGAAGGTGTTTGATTATGAAAGAGAATTATCTCCATCTCAGAAAAAAATTATGTCTAATTTGAGAAATCAGTGATAGAAGCTATTAAAAACAAGTAAAATCCATTTTTAGAATTCAATTATTTTTCAAACAATACTCATGTAAGAAAATCTTCATTGCCATTTGTACAAACGAAGAATACTTGTTTACAAGTTACTAAAGTTAGTCAATAGAAGTAATATTATTTTGCTTTGGTTTACAATTTAGTATTACACTAATTTAACACTGGAATTATCACCTTCATTTTAGTATACATTTTCAGAAAATACTTCTCTTTAGGAAGTACTCAAAAAACTGGATTAAAATTAGAAAATTAATGGAAAGCATCTTTAACCTAAATTTATCTTTACTTTGATTTGCATTACCTGCCTGGCTCATTCTGATGATGATGATGTCTCTTCTGCTGAATGTGTAATTCTTTTTTGTTTCATAATTGTTCTTATGGTGTAACTTAAGTTTTGCACAGGAGATGTAGGTAACTTTTTTTCTCATGTTCCATGTATGTCCAAACCACCAAGTATCCAAGTATAGTGTAGCCGACTGTTAAATTTAGTTCCAGTATCTCCAAACCACTGAACTGTTCTTGTGTGAGCTGTTTTCTTGGATGTTCTAGCATTGTTATTCCTGAAATAAAAGCAAAACACTGCTGCATATCTCAACCACATGTATTACTGTCTAATGTGATTTATTTACCATGTCTATCATGGTTAGTAGCTGGGATAGATAAAATAAAAATTGTAATTTAAAAAAAAAAATCACAATTCATTGAAGCACAAAATGTGTATTACATGCTGTAAATCTTTACCAATGTAAGATTGTCAGATCCAGGGAAAAATGCTAGTTCTGTTCTATTTGCTCAATTGATACCTTATCTCATGGTCTGAATCTTCATTTCTGCATAAATTTCTGTGTGAAAAGACAGAATTATTGGGATGGGCTATTTTTCATTAACACATTTACTGTGATAACACTATGAATGTCAGTGCAAGATTGGTCACTAGTAGTTGTAGCTCTACTTGTCATCAGCCTTATCGTGCATATTGAATTTTGTACTATTGCTAAAGGAAACCAACCAGACTTCACTCTCCTTAAGAGATTTTATACCTTGATATTAGTTGGATTTGTAGGGTTTTTTTGTTATCAAATACTTTTCAACAGCAGGCTGCTTGTATCTTCAATGTTTTGCCCTGTTTATGCAAAAGCTTTCACCGTAATTTTATGGCATGAGTTGAAGGGCTAAGCGCTCAATTACTATACAAAACAGCTTCAAATTACGTGACTTTAATAATAACTGTGCTATGGCATATTGCAGATTATCTGTGCATATGTTGAACTGCATGGGCCAGCAGTCTTGTGAAGTCTATTGGATGGAGAGGTAGCAATTACCTGCTGCATTTTTGGTGGAAATGCAGAAACACTTCGGGGCAGGAA